ATCAATACAGGAAGTTCATATAACGATGAATTTCAAATGGTTAATAGAATAAATAATAGGCTAGATGATTTTTTCTTAAAAGTGACAATTTCCAATATGCGTATAATGATATCCAACTATTATATTATAATGTCTAGGATTTCTTTAAAAAATATATAACAATCTTGAAAGTTTTCACTTGTTGATTTTGTAGAACTACATAATTTAAACAATGTATATATCTATAGAATATGTATAATAATGAAGTCTTACAATATATTAGATCCTACTTTTTAAAAATGTCCCAGTTATGCGGGCTGGTCATAGTAATTGATTTTTCAATTTTATGACTTTATAAAGCAATCGTAATAATTGTTTAATTTACTCTGTGTTATTTACTTCAGTTTTTTATCTGAACTTCTTAAAATCTCCAGACCATCTTGAATTCCTCATACGTCAAGAATTTCCTAGTAGGAAGTGCCATAACTGACGTTTATGAATTTATTACTCACACTATACTAAATGTTATAGCATGGCACTTTTATAATTTAGAACGCACCTGTAATTTCTTGAATGTTATTGGTTCTGAATTTGATGCAAATCAATATCAATTAGCTGTATCTATGGTCTAGATAACACTGGAACAGTCATCAGTAAGATGGAACCTGACACGTATAAACATCGGCCTAGAATACCATGCTACATCAGTAAAGTGACATAAAATTATTAACATGAATACCAATGTACTAATAGTAGTATCAGTGATTTTAGAAAAGATTAGGTATAGGAAAATATGACTCCAGAAAGAAATGAATTCGTGGAATAAAAGGTATGAAATAATTTTGAAACTCAGGTTCTAAGGAAGAAAAATAAAGAATCCATGTACGTCATTGTGACATATTCTGATTCATGTCACCAGATGTCTTCAATCACTAGTCACGAAAATCCCATTGATCTCAACAAGATAATCTTAAAGAACTAATATGGTTCAATTCAGGAGTCAATGATTTCATGAGTTGATGGCGCATGTTTTATTAATAAGCCCTAGCTTACTCTTACAACAACCAACATCGTTTGTCGAGTTAGGAGGCCGTTTGTCATACATAATGAGTGCTTTAGCCACTTTATTTGGTGAATGTCCACAAATCACATTAACTGATCTACTATCTTTACTAAGTGCCCTACGGGTAACTACAATATTGTTGAATCAGTAGGCCAAACATAGACGAGAAATTGCTTAGGATACACCTATGGTAAATACTTAGTCTACCTATGTCTTCTACTCTTAAATATCGTGTTTTACAGCAAAATAGTAACACACAGCGGATTATCATAGAGTGTAGTCGCCCACGCTACAAAAGATGCGGGTTAGTAAAGCCAAGTGAGCATTCTGTACCTGTGTTAAGATTTAGTCAGGAAGCAAACCAACAGGACTGACTAAACTTTCAAGATAGTCGAAGTAGTTAACGTGCTCAGATGCTTTATTCCATATGGTTGCTTTAGGCATTGATGTTGACCGGTTCTGAACCAACATTTTAGATTTGAAGGGTGAGAGATGGATGCAAAACATGATTGTATTGTTATTTAAGGTATTCGGAGGACTGGATTATGTCAAGGTCATCATGAAATAATACTATTTATTCGTGTGTTCTAAGTCAATAAGTGAGTCTCCTAGTAGGAGATCAATCCTTCGAAAATGTATTGGTGTGTAATTCATGTCACAGTGATCATCCGGTATTTTGTATCAGTGACTCAAAAATCGTTTAAGAAAACTTATGATTGAGTAGGAATCTTGAATTTAAAAAATGTTCCCCATACTTTTGCGATAATTTCCTTTTCCTAATAATTTTTGAATATTTAAATACAAACAGCCAAACCATCTCAATGAGCTAATGGCTCTAATCTTCAATAGCTAGTTTCGAACGCTTCCAACCTTAGGTAAATATATTAAAGTCAAACAGTTCAGTGCAAAATCAGATTCTGAAAATCTGAAATACCCATTTCATTAAATAAATTCATTGTCCCCAACGAATCATATAAAGAATTATTCCTCAAATGACACTACGATTAGTGTCCTGGTTATTAAACATTATTACAGTCTACCAAACTAGAAATGCAGTTTCACCACAGTAAATGAACAAATCTAGGGCTACAGGCGTATACCATAGTTTCGAATTGCAGTTAAGGAGTTTTAGTACCAATCAGTTTTTCCATAATTAATAAAACTCCGAATTCTCAAACTTTGTGCACAGCAATTTTTTAATATCACATTATAAGAAAATAATGCCTAACAGTGTGAGTCAGTGGGACTTAAATTACCAAAGATAACTGACTTTTTCGATCTCCAGCCAAAGAGATTATTGGTTAGTAGTTTGATAAATCCAATTGTTTTTATTATGCATGTTAAAGATGATACACCAAACAGGTAAACGACATTTTACTTGGTATCCACAATTTCTGAAATGAAAACTCTAAGTTTTTAATTTATTTAAAAGTTCAAATCCGAAATACTATTCGGTCAGAGCTAGTTCTTGGTCAATTACAAAACTGCCTTTATAAATGGATAGTTTATGGAAAAGAAAACGACAATGTAAACAAATTCTACATATTTGATAAACTTATTAAAAACTACAGGTTACTCTGCATGTAAACTGAGAAAAAATGACATATAGACTCGTGTTTATAGATATCGTTTATTCCTTTCTTATAATCTTTATAAGGAGCTAAACAGATTTTCAAGTCCTCGAATCGTTCCTAATTAGGGTTAGGATTATTGGTTTACGCTTAGAGTTTTCATCACGAATTGACATTAGCTATAACGGAAAAGTGGTTTGTATTCATACAGATCAATGAATTTAGCGCAGAAATCCGAAGGGCACTGTACGAATAATTCGTCTACAAAATATGGTAACAAGTTAAAGTTTATTTCAGGGTTAAGGGTTTGGAGATTAAGATGTAGGAATAGTGTTGATTTACTCGTTACATTTTAAAAAGATAGAATTGAGTTCAGTTTGTCTTAGGCTATCCGTTCTTACTCTGTGGTTGAAAAAAAGAAATACTTCATCATTAGTTCAAACATTTTGAGCAATATAAAAGGTATTTCTACTGTTCGTCTTAAGTAATGCTTGGATTTCGCGAAAAATTTTAATTCTAACGAGCTAGTCCACAATATCCTAATACTTTTGTCCATTATTCCTTACTTTTAAACAAATTCGTTTACTAATGATGAGCTAGCAACGACTTATCTTTGTAGATTTACTCAGCAACTATTAGTAATAATAATAACACTATTATTATTGTTACTATTATCATTATTAATATCACTACTATTATTGACAGTGACATATGGACGACTATATGAGTACAACAGATTATTGTTCATTGTCAGACAACTTTATTCACAATAAATGAAGCTTTTATTTTCTCTCATACAAATGGCACTATTTATTTCCCATGTAATTATATTTTTGGGTTAAGTTAATTACACAGACAGATGCAAAAGATAATTTTATTAATTCAGTATTTTTGTACAGATACAAATGAAATTTATAACATTAATTTGTATTCTACTCATTTTCAGTATGATCTGTAAGTAGTTTGACCAGACATTTTTTAATTAAATTGTTTAAAAATTGGATCTTAACAATATTGGTGGGAAGATTTCATGTGTTTTTTTTTAAAGCTTATACAACATCGTAAAATATGAAACAATTAGTTACTAGATATATCCTAGAATGAATGAATAGAATAATTTAAGAAAAAGAGGGATGTTTGAATTAATTTTCAAAGGCAATCGATTCGAGAGTAAATTTTCGTATTCTTACAATATTTGTTTTCCTAACATATATATGTATGTACTTTTTCACTTAATGTGCAAAACGTTTATTAATATTATGAACTTTTCTGTGTTTTGAACTAGAACTAAATTTCAATTGTTGAGATCATGAGTCGATTGAAGCTAGACCACCATGGAAAACCTGGAAGCACTGGACGGCCGTTTCATCCTATCGTGGGACTCTTCAGCAGTGCGCATCGACGACCTCGCCCCCTGCGAGATTCGAACCCAGGATCTATTGGTCTCGCGCGTGAGCACTTAAGCACTAGACCACTGAGCCGGCATCCAACGGTGTTAATGTCTAACTTCAACTAATCCACTAAATTGAGCGACACATACACCATTGTCATCAGTGAGTTACCATCTCACAACTAAATTATCTTTAATTCGGAGAAAATATTACCGTTTTGAGTAGGGCATATAAAAAATCAGTAAATTGGAATTCTAAAGTATTTGTCGTACTAATTACAACTGAATTTATGTTGTGATTTACCTATCATTTCTATGTAACATAAATCAACGAGGACCATTCTAAATGATGTGAATACTCTAACATTATCACTTCTAGTTGATTCACGTGATCAATTAAACCAACAATATGCAAATGTAACCGAAGTATTGGGTCCTAGATAATTAGTAAGGTTACAGTCGTACCCATCTTGTTCGTAATCCAATTTATCTGCTTGTATATCATTATGGTTTTATCATAAACCAGGTGGAAAATCAAGTCCACGAAGAAGTAAACATAATTATAGTGATATAACTCAATCATGAACAATGTAAAGCCCCGGATTATTATGTATCAACCAAAGCTGCTGCATTATATAAAAATATAAACATTTCATACACGTCATCAATGGAGGAAGAAGGGTCAAAAGGTGAGAGATTATCTTCAAGATATATATCCATCAATATGCTCAATTTAATATTTGGTCTACGGATATTCGAATAATAAGACTATTCAAATTAACGTTTTAGCTGATGCGTTTTCGATTGGGTAAGTGATGAGATTATATTAGAATGGTGTCCCAACAGTCGTCAGTAACACTGGCTATAATTTGTAGAATGCATACATAATAAAATTCATCAGATAGGAAGGGGATATTTTTAATCACAAAAGCAATTAAATATTTAAAGTATTTACTGGGTGGTATATATATATATATATATAAATAACCGAACTCACCTTTCAACGTTTTGATAGCAATCTCAGTATCACTAGAATTGCTTTCGTCGTCAGCATTAATGGATAACTTTCCTTTATAAACAATTCCATAATTACCTTCACCAAGGAGATTTTCTAGAGTAAAAGATGATTTCGGTATATATGTTTTAGGACTAGAATTCAAATACTGATTTAACCATTGTAACAGCATTACGTTACATTGTAGAATGCTATATTTTTGTGAAAAATATTTGGATGGTTGACATAGTAATCTTTGTGAAAATGACGTAAGTATATCTATTATCTTATGTTTTGTATCTGTATCGAAACTACTGATGTTAGAAGAACCAGATCGAGAATATATTGTACATGGTGATAACGGGGAAGATAATGACGACGATGGTGGCGACGACGATGTAGAAGAGCCGGAGTGATGCAACAATAATTTATGTTCTGGCTTTGTGTACAGTAAATTCATTTTACGGAAAACATCAACACGTTTCGATTTTGCATTTTTATCCAAAAAATCAATAGGTATAGATAGCACAGTTCGCATTGACTTACGCCTAATTTGTATACAATATATCAATGATAGAGGGATAGTTGAAATTGTTATAAATATGATTATCCAAATAAGAATAGGTGGGAGGAACCTAGAGATTAAATCTGTTGTAAAATAATGATAAAAATGATAAAGACATGTAAGGAAGAACGGCTAAGCAATTGAACATATTCAATAATCTAGCTTAGATTGATGATATCTAGTAACTTTATTAGTATAGTGGGAATAGTTTAAACAAAAGGAATATTATATTTAAAATAAGAACAAACAATATCAATGATGAATTTTACGACATCATGAAAGCGTATTTTTGAAATTGTACAATTACAAGTTAAAAGTTTAGCCATATTTTGTTTTCCCTGAGATGTTAAGGTTTTAATGCTATCAAGCAAGAGGGCATTTGTGAACAAATGATACGCAGTACGTAGTAGCTCCCTATCAATCTCTGAATGATTTATACATATACCAACGCTTAATTGTCCTCAGGTTAAAATGCTACTAGCATACGTCACATTAATTCATTCTTATTAAAACTCAAGGATTAATTAATCCCTATGTTCTAGTCTTAAACATAACATACCGTTACTCGAAATATTCCTGAAGTGGTGTATTCTTTTTGAGTAGGTGGAAATTGTACGAGAGAATTGATTCTCGCATTAGTTGTAGTTGGGAGTCGGCTGGTATCATTTCAGAATAATTTAATAAACAAACAAATCTACACAATAAAGATATAAACCATAAGTCTATAACCTGAATGGAGAAATAAAGTTACACTCTAGAATCTATAGTACGGAAGTTCATGGCTGTCAACAATAACCTTCGTCTTTCAATTATTTCAGTACACTAATTTTCATCCCCTGACATCATATTTTTTTAAATTGAACAAACGTATTATTATCACAGTTAATATTCTTTGTATAGATACATTCTCTGTTTGTAAGTTAAAAATAGTTTTTTCCAATACATTTATTTAACTGTTACTCTTACAAAACATAAGTAAATTATGAGAAGCAGAGTCAGATTTCGAGTAATTGACCTTTGAGTAACATCCTATATCACGTAAATTAGTTCCTGTTGTTGATAAGATCTTATCGACTATTTGTTGTATAACTTCTAATCCAGGTGATTCAACATATAGATTAGTGTACTGTGTGATGTTCTGTAGATGGAAGCAATCGACAAGTATGTTAGTTTTTGATGGGCTTTTTAAAACTATCTCATTATAAAGACCGGAAAGTACGATATAGAACTTTTTACATTAAAAGAATTTTTCTAAGAGTTAACATCTTTAATGAACATAATCTACTACGACGGTTGATGAATATTTATACATGATGAAATTAACCCTCCAGAATTACATCAATTGGTAAATGATTTTCTAAATTATTAATATTTTGACTACTTGCAAGTAGTCATTAGGACCTTGGTTCAATAATTTGTCTTCTAATAAAGAATCGACAAAAAGAGACGATACAACAAACAACTAGATACGATAACAACACAACATTATTGAATATATGTTCACAATGGCCTTCAGAACAACTTTTGAAGAGCATCATCCATAATCAGGATAAGATTGGATTTCGTTTCACTAATCAACTGGTATGCGTGTATGTAAACAGTATTAAGCTGTTGACAAATTTTTATAATTAAATCAAAATTTAGTTGATATATTGTACAATTACAAATAATCAACTACTTTAACCCATTAAGAAACAAAGTAAAGTATCTACTAATATAAAAGAAGACCACATATTCAAATAAAAACACCGAGATTTTTCAATTTATTGGTGACGTAAACATGAATACTCAGGATTTTTGAATAGTGATGCCATGATAACAAGAGAAAATCTTTGGAAAATCGGCGGTGTTTCGAGCTAATATATATAAGACAAACAACTATTCATAATGAGAATTCCCTTAAACAATCATTACTGGAATATAATTAACAGAAAACAATATAAATATAATAAATCTTTCTAATAGGATAAAATCAATTATCATTTTAGTAATATTTAGGTATGGATATAATCACCAAATGATTGAGAATAAGTTTCAATGGATGACGCTAGATCGTAGTACTATAAGCTAATGAAAAAAAATCACACCACGTCATTGTTTCCACTTTCTAGTTTTATTTTGAATTATTCACTCAAAGCACGTCCCAGCATGATCTAGTGTGCACCCTTAATGACAAGCCAATAGGCATATAGAACAAGAACGAAAAAAATATGCCCATAAACACGTGATTGTTATCCTTGAGCAAGAACATTTTGGACTGATTTGTGAAATTAAACTTCATTTTATGTAAATTGACCAGCACTTTTATATTAGACAGAAATTACATCTAAGTCTTACTTTAAACACAATGTAGCTTGTAACATGTTTGAACAGACAACCCCGATTCTTGCCTAATGATGAGGGGATGTATGATAAATACTTGAGTGAGAACGCCCCCGCACGTAAACAACACAGCCCAAATATAAATTAGGTGGTAATCTGACCAAATCATATTAAAATCCACAAGGTCGTTATACTATGAGCGTTAGACGGACATATATATGTATATACATAAACATCAGACTTCTCATGTGAGCACCACTTCGGTTTGGAAATTAAACAGTAGGTTGATGGGCCTGGGGTCATTTGCCTCAACAGCCTACGCTAACAAAAAAGCATGTTTGATCATGTAAGTGAAGTACATTCCCCTAATGCCAACACGATACAGTTTGGGGAAGTCATGTAAACAGTCAATGCACAAACAAATATAGGTTATTCCAGTATTGCAAGACTAGAATCATATTTTATCCATAACTATCATGTGTGGGGATTATCGGCAAGGCGATTCTGTCTTCGCCATGTTAAACACTAGATAGCTTAGGTGGATTATTTTCATAACAATTTATTACTTCTAGACACACCTTAAACTAAATGAAATTGTCGATGAAACTATGAAGTATTTTCTTAATAAATGTACATAAACTCCGCCACTTATTATTCTCCGTTCTTTTCAAGGACGGTGACATTCTAGTTAGATGACTGATGAAACTATTTGAAGGAGTAATATGGACTGAGTCACGTTAATTTTGATAAAGCAAATTCGAACAAGCTTTTGCAATACATCTGGCAACCGTCGAGTCACCAACTGCGTCCAAATCCTTAGGTATTATCGTACTGTGTAGAGCATACTTAAGGTGTAAAGTTACTTATGAAGAACGGAATGGATTTCATTCTGAACATGTTAATCACATATGCAGTATCTATCAAAGCAATTAAGTCCAAAATACAGAGAGCAACACTCATTAGATCTTGGAATAAGAGACTACGACTGCGTCCTGGAACAGTTTGTTAGAAAGACGTATACCTGAGAAGTTCGTTAGCACTTAAAAAACAACAATCGAAAAAACATGATATTAATGTGATGATATACGAACACATCTCATTTTATTGTACACTAATAGCATTTCTCACGCTAACCATTCCTCTCCAATTTTCTCAACTGATAGCATTCTGTAAACAACTCTGAAAGGAAAGGATTGTAAGAGTGTGAATCTATAGCAAGACGAAATATTTTCTGGCGTCGAGTATGCAAAAGTTATTAACTTACAGTGCATTAGCGTACATCCTATTCACATAGCATTTGGTCAGTCAGCAGTCAACATTCGTGTATAAAAGAAAGGGTGTGATTCATGATCAATCGATTTTCTGATCTTATTGGTAAATACACCAAGCAATCTAATATCTCACCTCACCTTACTGAACCAATTGGTTACATTTATAAGAGCAGACCCATGTACAAAAACAAATTAAATTAGTTCCAGCAAGAATACTTTGAAATTGCATAGAACAGAGAATTACCAAATATTACAATATTTTAATAATTGATTCTATGTGGGAATAAATTACTGAAGATTCTAAATATAATGAATTAACTATATTCGGATCCTTGTGAATGATGTTTCAGTTATGTTGGTACATCACAGATTTTATTTTTATTTTTGATCGAATTGCAAGGAAAGTGAGTGTGAATCAAAAATCTAGTAATCAAAAACCACAGGAATATCAAATAGTCAAACTTGTATTTATTAAATTACACATGGTTACTGCTTTACTGATCTGGATAATCAGTATCTTACCAGTATTTTGTAATAAAGAAATCTAAAGTAAACATGGTAAACTTAGTACTGTATCAAAAAAGTAAGATATAGTATTTCATTGCGTTGACGGTATAACACATTACAGTAAGTAGCTCTAATCACTATGATTTAATACGTAAAATAAATAACAGATTTTAAAGAATTTATAATTTGACAAAACTGACAACTAGTTTCTGACATTACAACTTTCGCAACACAAATACTGAACTAGATAACGTTGACACAAGTACTATTTAGTAACAGTGTTTAATTTAAGTGGCCAAATAAAGATATTCATTTTCATTATTTAAAAAAAATGAATATATTATGTTATAATCTAGTGGTAATTGAAACATTACTGTCAATTGATCTCTTGGTCAAAGGGCAATAAGAAACGAAATCAAATGAAATGAGAAATAGAGGAAGGAACCGTTAAACACCAAATAAAATATAAATGGAAGTACGAAAAAGTTTGACAGAGTCAAATAAAATAGTAAACCGTATGTGTGATGTCCATCATGATACTGATGACAGGTTCATATCAAATCGTACTATATAAAACATCGTCATTAAAAATACGTGGCCGTATGTTCACTCACACGTTACCGATGAGGTAAATAATCTTCTATGCACGATGCAAACATTTTCTATCTACCTCAGGTGTTTATAAACTGAATCACGATCAATGTAATATATTGAAAGGAGATTCTACACAAACGCGGTGCATACATACCTCGGCTGTCTCCTTTCGATGTGAGTTAGGGATTGCAGACATATACATATCCAAATAATCGTTGTCAAATCTCAATGCGGTATCCTAACTTTATTAATTACATTCAAATATATATGAAATGAATAATATAAAAGGGAAAAATAAATTTACTTGATTTTGAACAATCCATAACTGTAATTGTTACATTTTTATAAAAGAAATCATTTTTGCATATATACAATCCACTATCCCTATGGGACAAGTTTTCTAATTTTAATATAATGCTATTGTCAAATAGCATATAGCGCTTCTCATTGTTTGTGAAAGAGTCGGATACTTTTGAGACCTAAATTTACAAGAATACAGAAAAAGAAGAAATACCTAGAATCAAGCAAAAAATCTGGGGTTTGTTTTAACAGTGCTAGCTTTCAAGAGATGAATACTTTTCACATAATAACCGAATGAACTACGAACTACTAAATTAAAACCATTATAGAAGTGACTAATACTTCGCACTCAATTGTTCGGTATTCAATACTTAATCTTGACCTCACTGGCTTTAATCGATTGAACTTAAGCTGAACGAATGTTTAGAAATATCAACCCCACTTTTAATAACTCACCAAGTACATTCATTATTTATTGACTCTAGACAGTTAAAAATCTCTCCCTTCCTTGATTTCGTCCTCAAATAAATATGATGTTTACTTTAGACCAGTACTATCAACGATTGACTGAGTTTATATGAAATATCGACGTATAACATCTTTGAACTTGGCACCAGCATCGATAGATCGAGATAGACAGCTCTGATTGTCATCATAATATATTTAACAATATTAAGAGTAGTAGTACTACTTAATTTACAAACATGAGCTTAAATATGCCCGCGCAGCATTCAACCTCTCAATTAAAATCCACTGGCTCGAAAATTTCTCGTTTAAACCCAACCATTATTGATGCCCAATAATACAAAGAAAAGTGAGAAAAAGAAATACCTGTAAATCACTAACGAAACATCTTAATTGATAATGAATCTTTAGTAGTCGAGATCATGAGTCAATTGAAGCTAGATCACCATAGAAAACCTGGAAGCATCAACCGAGAAAAATGAGAAAATACTTCATCCTTAACCTAAACTACGTATGCTTTTTTATTGTATTTATTGTAATTAATTGCATCATGGGACCATCGAGTAAGTAACACAGTTGTTAGGAAACGGGTACTAGGTATGGATGGCAAATCAATTGATGAAGTAGCGAAACTTCATCAGTTGAGATGGCTGGGACACGTGTTACGTATGCCCAACGACCGACTGCCTCGACGTGCTATGTTCAGTGGTATAGGAGTAGGTTGGAAGAAGGCTAGGGGTGTCCAGACCAAAACATGGCACAAGTTCATGAAGTCACTGACAAGTGGACTGAGCCATGTTGGTAGGTGTAGACTACCTGGTTGGGGACCACGAGATGATAGCAACCAATGGTTAGAGATCTTGAATGACATAGCTCAGAATCGTTTGCAATGGCGCAGGTGCATCCACTCTTTGTGTTCTCCCAAATTCTAATCTTCTGAATTCTTCATGTCCTTTGTTTTCTTTCCAAATTTATTTCACTGGATTATACTCTTTAAATAACATCTCCAAACCCTAGTCTTCCCGATTACTGCTTGTACTCTTACTACCTCTACCACTACGGGATTTGAATCGACAACTGCATCTCTGTGTTATTGTGGTTTGGCAACTCGAACTGATGTACGTACGTACAAAGTTCTACGTTGTTACTAACTGACTGACTGAATTAATTGGATTTTATAAGTGCAACTTGTCAAAAAATTCCAAAAATAAAAAACCATGTCATATATATATGGTGTGTAGGGAAAGTACATAAACGACGGCATTGAAAACACAGATAAGCTCATTTTTTTACTTTTAACGCCTTATTAACAACTGTATCTCAAATACAACATATTAATAAATACATCGGAGACACCGGTGGAACTTGAGTATGTACAAAGAATGAAGTGTATTCTATGTAGATCCAATATATTGTTTCAGAAAAGACTAATGATGTGCTCGAGTAAGTGTGAGTATCTAGTTGTCAATCAGCATTTGATTAAAAATAAAGACGTAATTCAGTGTTTTACCGACATTTTAAGCTTACACTAACCACGCTCTATATTAATAGATATACATCAGTAGACGAAAAATTAAGATGCCTTAGTTTCACATATGCAGTCTCACAAAATAATTGAAAACTCACTGTCATTATCATGATAGCAAATGCCAATTACATGTGATGCGAATTTCCATACTATGGTCAGTAAACACTTCAGTATAGAGCTAAGTTTTATTAGCTTCAGTGAACTTTGATAACAAAATCCTACTAACGAGTGATTAGTATATCAAAGTTTGAAGAAGGAACATTTGTTTAACACAAGAGTTTCAAACATTAGTTCAATTTGAAGACGTCCAAACACTTCTATCTGTAATGCAATAACGATTTCAGGGGATTTTTCGATAACACTTGGTATGGGAAACTGCATATTTTCAAGTAACTTGGCCCATGCAAACGCCACCATTACTTCCTACAGCTCTATAAGAAATACTGTCTGTAAACCTAAAGATCCATTTACAAACCTGAATCACAGCGTTGATAGTTATTCAAACAAATCATCATACTAACTAGTTAGTAACACATGAACCTAGTTGTTGTTTCTGTAAACCAAATCGTGATAAAGCGACAATTTAGCGTTGATTTATATATTAAATCGAACTTACATTCCAATAAATTAGCTTATCTGTAATGCTACAGGCCTACTAAAAGAGGGTTGACAAAACGGGTTTGAACATGTGATTACCTTATTTTTTAACATTTAGATCACTGGGTTATGAGTGTTTATACTATCTATGGCAATTAAAATCATTTCATAAGGATGAATAGCAAAATAGTTCAAGAGGAAATAAAGTCTTTAAATAAAAAAATTCATTGAACTCACTTTCAGAAGCCTAAGGTGTTTGTCGTATTGGCCTAAATGCCATACTTCAAGTTGACCTATTGTCCGTGGAACATGACATACCAGAATTACCTCTTTGGACACACAAGTTACATTATCTAACAAGTAGAATCGAAACTCAGTGTAATTTGTTAAAATAAGCGTTGATAAATCTAAGGAATTCCTTTCGTTTGTTACACTGAACAAATCGGAATGAACATCACCAGAACCAACTTCACTTGGTAGACGTAATTCATCAATTAATTCAAAACTTGGTGCTTCAAATTCTGTATCACTATAGTAGCAGTTTTGACAAACAATATTTACAAAACAAGTGTAATTATGTACAAACGGTAGGTGTGAATAAAGTCAGATATATAAATTAAGCCTAAGTCTCAACAGTGAATACGGAAAAATAAGTTGTGCTTCCTTTGTTCGAGGTATTCACCATATTTATTTACTCTCAGATATCGAAAGTGAAATAAACATGTTACAAGCACTATTTTAAGAAAATCATGTATCATTCCTTAAATCAAACTCTAAGTGGGAATATACTGTACTTAAATCATCAAAATCTTATAAAAGCAAACAGAAAACAGGACAATACACATCATGATTGATCCATGAAACCTTGTAAAAACTTTAAACTTTATATAGAGACAAGAATAACATAACTCATCACTGTACTATAGGGCTAATTTTTAGAAGAACCATCATGCGTCACAATTCAAGACCGCTTTTTATACATTAGGATTTATTGTTCAAAGTAGTATAAACAAACATTATACTAAATATATAATTATCTCTGAGCGCAAAATTCAGAAAGAGAATGAGAAAAATCAATATTTCATTACTGGAACATCTTTTCGATTCTTATTACACTCTCCGAACAGAACTATCTTTTAGAGATATCTAACACTGTCAAACGACTGAGCATAATGGGATTAGAAATAAAAGAGATTGTGTACTGCAGAGGCTTTAACGATTCACTGGTTCAAGTTTAAACTTTATGTCAGTCAGTCAGCTACAATGTAGGAGGACTAGGCACATATATGCACAGGTCCAAGTTGCCACACCTCATTAACACAACAAGGTGATTGCATATTCTAAAGATATGATACCGGAAGAAAAATTTAGTTCGTAGAAAGAGAGGTATACAGTAATTTTAATCTCACGGCTTAAGGGAAGACAAAGAGTGTATACACCTACGCCATTGTGATCGGTTATGAGCCTTGTCACCCAGAGTCTCCAACCATTGATTACGATAATCGCGCGAACCTCAACCAAGTAGTCTGCATCTACTAACATGCCTCAGACTAGAAGTTAGTGACTTCAAGGACTGACACCACGTTTTCGTTGGCCACCCCGAACTTTCTTCCAACCATCCTCAGCACTAGTCAACATTGTCCATAGTGGTAATCGGTGTTCAGGCATACGTAACATGGGCCCAACTATCTCAGTCAATAAAAAGTCAGTTGGCAAAAGTCAGACGAGCTTTCTAATTGCCTGCAGAAATCTCATCAGACACCAATATATTAGGGCTGATAAGACTTCCAACATAAGTGAAGTTTGTCGACGCGTTCGACTACTTCACTCCCTATGTACCAAAACGACATTCTAATATCTTCCACCCCACCTCTAAACTTTCATGCTAGGTAATTACAGTTCATAGTCTCCTCTAGTCACTTTTTATTATCACACGTAGGTCTTTTATTTCTCACACCTTTATGCACATCAAATGGATAATTACCTCACGCATGTTTTCCTACCATTTTTAGTTTATAACTTTCGGATGGTTACACATGTGATATTCAAAATCTCTGAACATTTAATGATGCAATCACCTATTTTACAATAGACTACTATGTCTGTTA